GGTATAATGAGAGACCAGCTGTATACGGCATCGCGCTGCGCAACGCGCTCCACTTCGTTTAACGTCATTGCATGCTCTAATAAAACACGACTCTCTCTCTCTCTCTCTCTCTCTCTCTCTCTCTTTCTCGCATGACGATACGCAACGACACCGGGGAGAGTGCGATCTCTTCATCAGACAGAGTCCTAGCGAGCTCTCCTTGACCGCCCCGAGTGCGTCCAAGTGTCACGCAGACGCATTCTCAACTCTTCATGCGGAGAACTATTCGGTTGGCACAACTGAATTTCAGTCACGACAATCGAAAGCTTCCGTTTTTTCCTCAGGGACCAACTGAAAATTCGACTGCGACGCAAAAGAAATTCCGCTAGGAGGCTTCTATTGTCCTAGAAATATTAAGATTTTGATTTAGTTTTGAGAGTTTTGCAAGAGATGGGACTGATGTCAGGTTTTGTCAAAGATATTCCAATCACAGCTCTATTAATGCTTCTTTATACTTCAATATTAATTATTAAAGTTTCTTAATGCTTTAATATTAATTCAATCATGATATTTAGTCACTTACTAACAATAGACGCAGCAAAAATCGTGTTGATACCGTCTTAAAAATGGAGCTTCCTAAAGAGCATTTTCGACATGCCCTGCTTTTGTTTTTTAATAAAAACGACGGCTGAAGGGCTTATAATTTTGACAGAAACTTATGGTGATACTGTTCCATCAATTAAGACATGTGAATATTAGTTTAGACAATTCAAAAGTGGTGATTTCAATGTTAACGACGAAGATCGCATGGGACAAGCTAAAAAGCTTGAAAATGCAGATTCGCGAGCATTATTGGACGAAAATCTAGCACAATTCACTTCAGAACTTGCCGGAGCATTAAATGTTGATCATGCAACAGTTACTAAACGTTTACGTGAAATGGAAAGATTCAGAAAGAAGGAAAATGGGTCCCACGTCAATTATCGGAAAATGTCATTGCGAACCGGTTGAACATTTGCATTTCGTTGATCGCCGGGCAAAAAATGAAGAGTTTTTTGTATCGTATCGTTACTGGGGATGAAAAATGAATCTATTTCGATCTAATCTCAAACAAAAAAATGGGTTGATCCAGGCCAATCAGCAACATCCACTTCGAGGTGCAATATTCACGGTTCAAAGATATCGGTAGGATCAAGAAGGTGTTGTGCACTACGAACTGTTAAATCCGAATGAAACTGTCTCCGCTGATCGTTAGCGACAACAATTATACAGGGTATCTGTAAAGTCCGACCCCACCTCTGGATCTCGGAAACGGCTTTAAATATGGAAAAATGTTTTAGACAAAAGTTATAGGATATTGAGGGGGACATATGATAAAAATATGGACTTGACCTTGAGTGACTTTATCAAGGCCAGGCCAATGTGATCGATGTTTTCTTAAATGGAACCTTCTATTTTTTATTGCATATTCTTGTAGCCCTTGTCGAGATGTTTTCAAAACACTATCTATTTTTGTTTTTTGTGCAAGCCTTTCCCAAGATATGAAGCTTCGGTCGGATTTACGCCTCGTATGTGTGTGTGTGTGTGTGTCTGTGCGTCTGTGTGCGTGTATGTGTCACAGTAGAGATAAGGACCCCACGGTTCGTCACTCCCGTAGTATTTTTTGACTCCAAACCCTCTCCACTGTGTGTGTGTTGTGGCCTTAAAAAGGACCAATTTTATGTGTATGTATTTCTTCAGTCAAAATTCTTCCCTCCCCCTCTCTCTCTCTCTCTTTCTCTCACTGTCTCTCTCCACTATTCTTCTTCTCGTTCCCCTTACGTTAGTTATTTTCTTGCCGTTACACACACACACACACACAGTCCATATTTTTATCATGTATCCCCTTCAATATCCTATAACTTTTATCTGAAACATTTTTCCATATTTAAAGCCGTTTCCGAGATCCAGGGATGGGGTCGGACTTTACAGATACCCTGTACAAATTGAAGCGAGCATTGGACCAAAAACGATCACCAATTGCGAGTAAACGACGCAATGTGATTCTTCTTCACGACAATGCTCGACTTCATTATTGCATTATCAGTGAAGCAAACGCTACTAGAACTGGAGTGGCAAGTCTTGTCGCGTATTGCTCCATCCGGTTATCACTTGTTCCGATCGATGCAACATGTTCTAGATGATACATACCTTCGTAACTTGGAACAAGTGAAGAAAATTTGTTGAAAATTGGATCAACTCCAAAGAAGAATCTTTTTATCGTCGCGGAATCCATCTCTTGCCAGAGAGAGATGGGAAAAAGTTGTAGAAAAACGGAGGGAAATATTTTGCTTAAGATATTCGTTCATTATCTTGTTCAAGTATATCAGTTTTCGACAAAAAAAAACCTGAAAACCAAACCTCACTCCTAATATGTTCGACCTCAGCCGAATATTAATGTCGTCAGGGTACAAGTTTCTCCATACGGATAAACGTCCTTGTGTGCGTAAGTGGAGGGGGAAAACCTTTGCGCGGTCGTGTTGAAAATCGTATCATTGGCAGCGTCATTCGATTTCTTCGGACGAATCTTTCGGTCGTTCTGCTTCGCCGGAGAAATCTTTGTCGGTTTTCTCCACGTTTCTCGATATTTCGCCGCTTTAGCGGGAACAACGGCGATCACAGGACGCGCGGTCGAGTCTCATCCGCCGGCTGCGTCTGCGGGCTGTTGAGAAGGACCGATGCGATTAATAGCGCGAAGATCCTTGCGCGATCGTCGGTATCCGGCGATCTCAGCCCACCGTGAACGAAACCGCCACGTGATCGACCACCGGAGAAGTGTGTACGATTTTTCCAGCGGTTGTCGCGCGGAGGAGCGAGCACGATCGGTAAGTTGATCCTCCGCGGAAAGGACGCGTCGCGTTTCGGATTGTATTCTTCATTAGGAGTCCTCGAATTGTACACTCGCGACGCGCGAACAGGCGTGGCAAATGAGCGAGCCTCGCCGCGGTTATTAGCGCGCCAATCGCTTTAACTCGCCCCTCGCAAGAGTTTGGCATATTTGGAATTATATTACAGAGGGAGGGGGGGGGGGAAGAGAGAGAGAGAGAGGCGCGAAGAGAATGTACGTAACGATGATATCAAAAGGACGAGCACGAGTCATCGAGTTAATCGGCATTTTATCGTCCTGCGTGTGCCTCGAAAGTCGCGCTTGACTCGCGGTGACTGCCTTGCGGTGACTACAAGCGCGTTTCATAACGATCATTGCAATTACTCTCGGCCGTCACTGTCGGCGTGACCTCTTGGCCGCGTCGACGAGACCGCTCGCGCAGATCGTTACGTTAACGCGCCGTAATTATACCGTCGTATCACCTTGCACCGGTTTACTTGATTAAGCGACGCGACGATAACGACAACGATGACGACAAATCTCGTCGTGTGGGAATTTGCGATTGCGCACGAGCAGAGAACTCGCGGCGCGCTTCGTTCTCGATCTGTCAAGCGGCTTCTCGGCCAAAAAGCGTAGGATTAAGGCGCGTTGAATAAAAACGGGATCAAGCCGCGCTGCCTTCTCGCTCGTAAAGCCCGACGTCTCGGCCGCTCCGGAGGAGCCGAGGACGTTGTTATGCAGCTGCGAGCGCTCTCATGCACCTGCGCGCGCGATGACATTTATTAGCTGGATACAATGTAACGGTTATCCCCGCCGCTCTTTGCGAAACTGCCCGGGCCGGGCTGAAATCTCAGGCGCGTACTTTACGGCTGTAATTACGGGTCGGAAAATCTCACATCGTGACGGGAAAATTACGTCGTGCGTTGCGGCGAGTGCTCGCCGTCCTCGAATCTTGTAAACTGCCGAGAGAGAAAGAGAGAGAGAGAGAGAGGGGGGGGGAGAGAGAGAGAGGGAGAGAGAGAGAGAGAGAGAGAGAGGGGGGGAGAGGGAGAGAGAGAGAGAGAGAGAGTGAGAGCGCGAGTTTGACTTCTATTCCGCGCACCCCAAAAGAAGTATTCTATTTGTAAAGTGATTTTTCCCATAGTCTCATTCTTATCATATTCTAAGCGAAGCCCTTTACAGAAAAAGGATTCCTCTTCGCGATAAAGCTAAAGTGATAAAATTAAAGTGAATCATTTATCTAAAGTTTATTAGATATTATTCTAATTGTTTTCCTCTTATTTCAAGAGGATTTCCTCTTATATCAATTAATTTTCTTCTTGTATGAAGAGGAATTTTTTCTTTCTCTTTGTTTATCTTTTCTCTTTCATTAATTTCGATGGGATTTAAGGAAACGGAATGGCGAGACAAAGAAGCATACATGGTCGCGTTCAAGAGATGAGATTTTTATCCCAGAAAGAAGTAAACACGATAAATTGCAACGTTCCGAAAATGTACACGTGAGACGCGATTCGCGTAGAATCAATCGCGAATGAAAATTACGACGTTTAGACAAGAGAGAAAAAACGAAAATGTTTTGTTTCGCGAACGGTAATTCGAAAGAAACGCACGTCTTGTTTCGCAAGGACTAAGTTGTAATGTAAATAAACGCGCGTACCAAATTTATTGATAATTTCAAATGAAATATTATCGCTTCTGACACGCGTGAAAAATGTAGAAAATTGATAAACTCGACAGACATAAAATTTATCAAGCCGAATAAGATAAATAATAGTGAATTTCACCATTATGTGCGATGGAAAAATTCTGATCAAATTTTAACATTACACACTACTCGAAGCAGGAGTTATGTTGATTGAATCGCAGCAAATAATTCCATGTCTTGATTTCAATATAATAACAAACTAAAGCATTTATATCTGTATCTTCGAATGATTCAGAGTAAATATGAAAGAGAGAAATATATATTATATCTCAAAAATTCTGTTGTGTAATACGGTCATTGAAGGACACGATGATCTCCTGATTATTTCGAGCAACGTGCGAAAAAAGTATAATTAAATCGCATTGAATTTCTCGAGATATTGCAAACACCCATCACCATAAAAATGTCTTTTCTTCTCTGACTCACCGATACACAGCAGACAGAGTCAGCCGCGTTCTGCTGCGGATCTGTAACAACAAGTATAGTTTCGTTAGTTAAACCGTTAGGTTAAAAGTTGGGTTAGGTTGAGTTCAGTTCGCGGAAGCGCGCGCGCAGATACAAACGTTGACCCTTTGCCATTGTAATTCAGCGGCTTTTATTCCAATCGCTCGGTTTTCGATCGCAATGAATCAAGAAGAAATGTACAAACGTTCGGTGAACCTCACCTTCAAGCCGACTCTGCTCGGCCCGAACCGGATCCTCCGGTGCGGCATCGGCGTCCGTCGAAACTGCGCCCCGGTAACCGCAGTGGCCGCGTGGCCGCAAACTCCAGCAGATCTGTAACAAAAAGCGAGTTTCCTCATTAGTATTACAGCGACAAATGCGCCCCGCATCAAGAATACGAAGACTCGAGACGACAAATTAGCTTCTTCAACTTAACCAAGTTAACCAATAAAAGTTTACCTTTAAAGACCATGAAACACTGCTATTGCCTAAGATGCTCCGGATCGTCACGCACATATACACATACACACACACGCACGAATATTTTTACAGTTACACGCGCGCGTACACTGTGATCGAACGTGAAAGTTCGGAAATTATTACGCGCGGCGATCCGCCGAACTGTCCGCCGCCGCGGCGTAAATAAAAATGGAGGCGGTCGCGGCAGTTGCGTACTTATGACCATGTTGTTTTCAAAGTCGCGCGACCTTGTCCCGTCGGGACGCGTCTCAGAGAGCCCGTAACGTTGTATAAAACTTACTTTTTGTATACGTTGTCCCTAAGTGTACGTACAAAAGGTAAAAAGAGGCGCCAAGTACACGCGCAACACGTATTGTGTTATTTTTAGAAATTTCAAATTACTTTCTTTCAAAATTTTTGTAAAACTTAAAACTATAATAAAACTCTACAACACTGTTCTACTTTATAAAAGAAATGATATATTAAAATAGTAATGCCAACTGAGAAACCTAATATACATAGGGTGTCCCATTTTAAAGGACCCACTCAAATATCTCAGAAACACTGCGTTAAATCGAAAAATGCTTAAGACAAAAGTTGTTTAGCTTGAAGGGCGACATAGCACAGCGATAGCATTTTGTTTATAGATGGCGCCACTTATTAGATATTCACTGATTATCAATTTTCTTAAATGGAAATCCCAGTTTTTTATTATATCATCTTTTTCTACCAATTAATTCGAACAACTTTTGTCTGAAACATTTTTTAATTTGCTTAATTTGCTTTAATATATTTTGAGATATTTAAGGAAAACTTGGTAACTTTCGTCCTTCAAGCGCCCTTCAAGCTGAACAACTTTTGTCCTAAGCATTTTTCGATTTAACGCAGTGTTTCTGAGATGTTTGAGTGGGTCCTTTAAAATGGGACACCCTGTATATATATATATATATATATATATGATTATAATATAATTAATTCTTTATTCAAGATAAACGGAAATGTTTATACGCTTTTAGTATTTTGCATCGTACCACACCTGAGCGTGTATCTTTGGGCAATGTAACTTATTATTTTCGTTATGCAAGTAATAAGTTTGTACAAGTAAAACTTATACAATAAATTCTTCTATTGAATACTATAAATAAAACTCTACAAAACTGTTCTACAAAAAAATGATATAACAGAACAATAGCATCAACTGAAAAACTCTACTCAACATCAACTCTGCAAATGAGAGCGATTTGCAATCTGAAGATAAATGTAACTCCCAATGATACACAGTCCGGTACTTCAAAAAACAGTGTCTTCATTATTTATTAGAACACTGAGTTTTATGGTTATTTTACTTGTTATTATAATAAATTAGTTATTATGCAATAAAAATCCTATTTAATGCAAAAAATCTTAGCCTCTCTCTCTCTCTCTCACTTTCGCTCTCTTTTTCTTTCTCGCACATTTCTACTCTTGTATTCTAGCAATATTCTTCTCTCTCTTACTTTCTATCGCTTGCTCGCTCGCACTCGCTGCTTCTCCAGTGCGTTCATAACACTTTTGGTGTCGGAAAAGTGAGATGCACAAAGCCCTTCTCCTCTGCAGTCTAGCGTTTCTTACTTTCTTACTTTCTTACTGAATTGAAATTTTCCATGATTCGGGTTTTATCTTAAAATATTTACACTTAGAGACAACGTATACAAAAAACACAAGGACACTTTTCTTCCTATTTTTTAAGGCCGAATCGATTGGGACTGAAGAAACCTCGATCGGTTTTTTAGCCATTGATGAGATATGAATATCTCACCTCATTTCAACTCGCAGTTTCGCGTAATATAGGCACGGTGTGCCTCTTCGTATGTTGATTTGAATGTCGGCTTCTCTTGTTCAGTCATGCTTCTGATATGAACGAAAAAATAATCAATATGCTCATGGGTCAGAATATTTGGAACGCTTTTTGAAAAAGGTATATGTGTTACTGTAACATACAACGAAAATAATTTACTCATATTTGGTCAAATATAGTTTATAATCTATTCATCAAGAAGTTTAATAATGTATTCTTTCTTTTAACTATGTTCCATACAATTGGTTATGATGAACATTTTTGTAGCTATAAAATCCATAACAAAACTGATTGGAAATTTATTTGTTATGATGATCTTATTTCATTCGTGTCTATTTATTGTATAGAACTGAAGCCAGAAATACATATATATACATATATATATATATTACTTTTTGCTGTACATTATAATAATCTTTTCAAATTAACTAGTATAACCAGTGAGAATAAAGTACGGTAAGAATAAATAATAGTCCTCTTAGAAAAAGATTAAATAAATATAAGAGGAAATTTATATTAAGATTAATAAGATTTTATATATATTAATTTTATTATACATATAACATATAATCTCTCTAACTTTAAGAATAATGTTTATAATATTTTCCTCTTAATCTTAGAGGAATCCTCTTGAGGTCATACATATATAAGAATAAAATCCTCTAAAACTCAAATGATTCCGCTTGTTCTGAAATTATTCTTTTTTGGGCACGTGTATCTGGAAGAAGGGAAATTTCTCTCGCCGAATTTTATATCCCGAGGATAACTGCTTTCTTTCGCACGCCCAGTGGGCGAATCGCGAGAAAGCCTAGAGTTTAAAATATCAATTTCTTTTGCTGAAAGAAAACAAAAAAATGAGTCAATTCTTCGGAAAATTCGATGATCGTTCTCGTCTTCTTCTCGACAAAATCTCCTGCTTCTTCATCTTTTCATTCCTTACCTTTGCTCCTGCGCGGCGATTTTCCCAGCCTTGAATTTTCATAATCTTATTTCTCTCTCTCTCTCTCTCTCTCTCTCTCTCTCTCTCTCTGTACTCGCGTCACATTTCCGCCCACTCCGATCTGAGTGTCAGTAGACGATGCATTCGTGGCGGCCGAGGTGTGTCGCGCGGCTGAATAGCTTCAACAGGTGGAAACTTATCTGTAATGACTCCATCTCGACGACCCGGCCACAAAGAACCGGCGGGTGCTACGGTAATAGTCCGTGACTGTATGGCTGACCGCGACTATCATGTGCTCAGGCAGGATCAAAGGACCCGACCCTACCCTTCGCTGTGGATTACTTCGCGCCGTACAGCTTAACGCTAAGACGATACACGAGACCGGTGCTTTCTCGTTTACGTTGCGGCTTCTAGTGAGTCGCCGTATGATTTGCCCGAAGTAACTATTCCTTAGCGTCCGTTCTCGTACTTCCTTTTAGCGCGCGCGCGCACACGATGCCGTTTAATATCTCCTCATACGCGCCGAGGAGCCGCTAAGAGAGTCCTGTCGTGTCGCGGCTCGAGAGGGACGTTTTAAACCGCCGCTACCGCAATTTCGAGCGACGTGTAAAACTTGTCACTCGTCATTAGCGCTGACTGTGCGCGCGCGCGCGCGCGCGAGTGATATTTAATTCCACGGCATTCCGGACGAATGTTCCTAACTCGAGCGCGGCCGAGTAGCCGCGCGCTCGTGATAATCTACTTACCCGCGGCGCACAGACAACGACTCGACTCGCCTCGCCTCGCCTCACATCGCCGCAATTAGCGGCGCTGACGGCTTAATTGGACTCGTTTTCGTCGCGTGACGGCTCTCTCGCAGATTCCTGCGAACTAGGTAGCCGCGCGGCGGCGCGGCGGCGAGCAAGAAGAGCGCCGCGCAGCGCGCCGCTCAAGGCTGCTCTCTCGGAGCTCGTTCCACGCCACTGAGGACTAGAGATGTGCGAACTATTCGAATTTCGAAGATAATATCGAATTGCGAAGATTCGAATACGAATCAAATACATTAGCGTTTGCGTGCATCAGCTACAAAACGGGCCACCCGAGCCTGTATGTTCGAACCCTTAACTTGTAATTAACTTAACTTATAATTAATAAACTTAGTTATAAATTACTTTAAATATTTAAATATATATTTTACTTTAAGATGATATTACAATATCAATATTCCGTTTCATATTAAAATCTGCCAGTTTCCGGCTGTGCATGTTTAATAGTCATGTTAAATTTTTTAACGATTCGATTCGATTTCATTCGACTTGATTCGAATTCGAATGAAATTTCACAGATCTCGATTCGATTCGAATTCGAATTTGAAAAATGAGATTCGATTCGATTCGATTCGACATAAAAATTCTTCATTCGCACATCTATACTGAGGACACATATACACACACATGTACACACACACGCAACTGCGGGATTATTGCAGACGCGAAACGCGCGGAATATCGCGCGATTCTTAACGGGGAAACCGAGCCGCGCACACAAAGCGAAATCAGATTGTGCACGGTCAACCGGTCACGCGCGCGTTTCCTCTCCTGCGCGACCGGGATGTGTGCGATGCAGGACGCGGGAAATTATGCCACTTCCAAAGTACAAGGACCATCTCGCCAATAAAATGCACGATCGATGCGACGAGTCCTCCTCTCTCTCTCTCTCTCTCTCTCTCTCTCTCTCTCTCTCTCTCTCTCTCTCTCTCTCTCTCTCTCTCTCTCACTCTCTCTCTCTCTCTCTCTCTCTCTCTCCGTTTCGGAGCGACACGCTCTCGGCGCACGCTTCTCTCTTCGGCACAAAACCGCGACACGAGGGGAAGGCAGTCGGAGAGAGAGGAAGACAAAGGAAGGCGTCTCTCTCTCTCTCTCTCCCTCTCCCTCTCTCTCTCTCTCTCTCTCTGTCTTCGTCTTTCATCGAGTCACTGTAACCGCCCACGATCGACGATCTTATCTTCGAGTCTATCTCGACGCGCTCGCGCCTCCGCAAATCGCCGCTCGCTTTAATCGCGCCGTAACGTTAACTGACATTAATATCGGCGCGTTATGCGCAACGAAGGGGCGAGGGCAGGGTCGAAATCTTCCTTTGTTGTGACACTTTGTTGTTACCCGGACTCGCTCCTACTACCGTTCGATCGATATTTATACACGCGGCAAATTATTCGGCTGATACAATTGACTTTTAGTTACGACAACCGGAAACTTCCATTCCTCAGGAATGAACTGAAAATTCGGTTGAAACGCCAGAGAAATTTCTTTTGG